TAGAAAATTTCCAAAGACATAATATTTATATATTAAAATCAGATAACCATTGCATATCCATCAAATACATGATGGCCATAAGAAAAGGAGGATAAGTCCAATTTGTATCCTCTCGGCTAGCCGCTGCGTCCCAGACAGGAATTCAACAGGGCTTAAGGTCTCATTTTTGGCTTTTTTGACATGAGCTTTCGGAGGTGGCCTGAAGTGTGCCGTGAGCTGTACATGTTTGTTTTGCTCCTTCATGAAGGAGCCTGGCCTCTTCTTGGGGCCTTTGAAGGCCCCCAGAAAGAGAGAGGAGAAAACCCTCGTAATGAAGATTCTCCCCTCCATCAAAATAGAAGAATCAGGCCTCTAAGGGGTGCGGTTCCCCTTTTCAACAAGGGCACACTGGCTTTTAAAGCAAATCAGCCCAAGTTGGTTTTCTTTTTTAAGTGAGGCTCTTAAATTAAAAAAAAAAAATCTAAAGGGACTGGTGTGGCCTCTTAGACTTCACTCCTCCCCCCAAAAAGAGTCTTGTATTCTCTACAGGACAGAGAAGCAGCTTGTTGCACAGGAAAGAGACCCGGCTGGGACAAATCCCTCAGTCAGGAAAGACAACCACTGGTTCAAGACTCTCCTTATATTATTATGGCTACTACCGGCTGGGAAGGTCCAGGATGCTGTCAAACCGAAGTAGCTAAAGAGCCACAGCTTTTTGGAGACGTGTGATGTGTGGATGGTGGGCAGTTCTTCGTTCATGATTAGAACAGAGTTCATTTTCACACAGCAGGACTCTGCCACCAGACTCTCCTTATATCATTATGGCTACTACAGGTTGGGAAGGTCCGGGATGCTGTCAAACCGAAGTAGCTAAAGAGCCACAACTTTTTGGAGACATGTGATGTGTGGATAGTGGGCAGTTCTTCGTTCATGATTAGAACAGAGTTCATTTTCACACAGCAGGACTCTGCCGCCTTCTCCTAAAACCCCTTGTGCTCCTCAAAAAGTACCTCATCTCGTGAGCTGGGGTGTGTGTGTCCATGAGCATGGTGTGGAAAGTCAGGCAGGGAGCTGTAGATGAGGGGGTGCCTTTTGGAAATCATCCCCCTCCATTATGCAATCACAGGAAACAGGAGCCAGTCCTTGCTCTGGTCCTTAGGACTGTTGTGTTTCCATGGATAAGGCCTGTCATCTCGCTGGTAGGGCAGTGCTGAAAAGGAAATAGACATGGAGGTTTCTCCTGGTTTTCTTACAGAACCTCAGAGCCGACCCTAAGGATGGTTTGCGCATTGTTGGGTTTAGTGTGTGTATGGGAAGCAAGAAGAATGGTTAGTTGAAAAAGTATGTCTTGGAAGACTTTTAGGTGTTCTGCCACAGTTTTTTGGGGGCACGTTGCTATCAAATGCAGTTCTTGTTTTGAAGATGGGAATGACAGTGGTGACCTACCTCTCAAACCTGTTACGAAGGCAATTGCAATAAAGACAGTCATGCACTTTGAACATTAAAACTGCTAAATCCACGAGAAGTAGTGGTGTTTCTGTTTTACCCTGGGAATAGATGTTTGGAATCTTTTAAAAAGTTCAAGACAGTTGACTATTTCTTACAGAGTCCCAAGTACTAAGGACCTCTAGCCATTCCTTCTCTTATCCTTCCCTGCACACTCTTTGTTGGGTGGGGGGAGACCTGCACAACCCAGTAAATGCAACAGAATATGATCTGCTTAATATTTTCTTCTGAAGTACACACCTGTGTCCGAGCACCTGCTCTAAAAACCTCAGTTTCCCAATTCTGTCCCCATTTCATCTTCAGGTGAACACAGAGTGGAAGGAGTAGGAACTATACCACATGGTACCTAAGAGGATGGCTCTCTGTCAGCAAGTTCGCTGCTGCCGATTTCTTTTCTGCCTCCACTGCAATGTTTCCTCTAATTTTCTGGGGTGCTGTGTGGAGGCGTCACCTCCTGAGGGCAGGATTCTGTCTGTGACCCAAAGCAAATGGGTGAAAACAGCAGCTGATGCAGAGCAGTGCGCCCATGTGCCTTAGAGGGCATACTGCTTCAGTATGATTGGCAGAGGTGGTGGGAATAGTGGAGGTAGTTTTGTGAGATTCTCAAGTGTGCTCTGTTGATTTGTCTTTAAATGCTGTGACAGGTTTGCCTTGAAAAATCAGTCAAGCAACAACCAAGGCCTATCTGCTTTTACTATACTGGATTCTTGGTGTCATGTAGTGGAGAGAGTGATGGACTAGGATTCTGAACAACAGGTTAAATTCCTTACTTGGCCATGGAAACTCCCTGGGAGAGAGGAACTGGGAAAACCACCCCTCACCTTGAAAGCCTTGTTAGGATCGGTTCCGACTTGACCCCATAGAACACACACAGAAAGGATGCTGGAAGAACAGGGATATCCACTAATACCAAGATTGGATTTTCACCTGCCTTCCAGAAGTTTCATATGTGTCCTATAACAGAATGCTGAGAGAAGTTTACCCCCATCACACCCTGTTGCAGCCATGAGTCAGATGACTGGATCAGGCTGTAGATGTGGAAAGGCAGAGACAGGTAAAATGATGGGATCTTTAGGGGACAAGGAAGAGATTCAACACCCAGGGACATTTCTTCGCTAATAATGGGGGGGTGGTTGTTTTGCATTTTCAGTTGCCAAAGAAATTTCCCAAGGCCGTTCATAAACAGAGGAGCTTAGGTTTCAACAATCCTGTTGTGCTTCCTATGTGTTTCAGTGCTCCATTCGGAAAAGTGCACAAAACCTTACGTCCTGGGGAAAGAGCAAAAAAAAATGTTCCTTCTAGTGAAAATAACGTTCAGTGCACTATATTTTAAAGATTTCTCTCCTAGGCAAAACATACCCCAAAACGTGCAGAAAGTGTGCAGTTTTCCTTCATGTGCAAACATATTTTTTAAAATGAGAAATCGAGTGGAACCAAAATGGACACCTTTCATCCAGCTCTGCCCTTCTTAATCAGCTGTATTGGAATGAGTAGCAACCACTCATTTACATGGGAGGAGAAACTGTGCTGCTTTGCACGCTTTGCTTTTAGAATCATATTTAAACACCAGGAAGAACCACCAACATGGCAGCTTGTCGTTCATGGGTCATAAAGCCACAAATTTCCCCAGGAATTTCCAACAAACCACGAATTGATTCATCTTTTTTTACAAGCTGTCATTTTTTAAAAAAGGCTGAGCCCCCTCCACCCGCTTCCCACTGCTCCCCTTTGCCTCTTTACCTTGGCCTAGCCTGACTGGTGCCTACAGAGGCAGAGAGATCACGCTAGCCTGCTCACACGATTCCAGCCAGCTAGCCTGGCCCATAGGCCAAGAGAACAGACCAACTGGACAGACCCATGCCAGCTGACTCTTTGCTTCGATGAGCGCTGATCAGCTGGTTGGCACCTGCAGAGGGAGAGAGGTCAGGCTAGCCTGCCGGAATGGAGTTTTGCTTTCCACTGGTGTCGGCATGGACAGGACAAGGTAGGGAGGCAACGGGGCAGTGGGAAGGGGGCAGCAGGTGAGCTGTGGGGACAGAGAGAGTGGGCCAACCGAATCGCTGTTCGGCAGGCTCGCAGGCAGAGGGAGCAAACTGGGCTGCCGGAACGGCTGTTTTGGTAGTCTAGCTTGCTCTTTGGGCCCAGGCCCAAATGAAGGGACGAAAACAAAAAGGGTAATTATTTCTCACATTGTATTCGTCAGGGCCTCTGGAATGGATGAATACAAAGTGACAAATATTACACAAATCAGCAACTTCTGACTAAATACCGCAATTCTTTATATGTCCCCATGTCTGGGGACATCCAGGTCCAAACCAACACTGGCTGGCTGGAACAGCTGTGTGGTCTCCTTGTGTGCAAGCTTTCCCCATCTTTTAGGAAAGGGGGCGACTGCAGGGATACTTGACAGAACCCCTGTTAGCTGTAAAAGGTAGGAGACCAATTCAGCAAAATTATTGACGGGACCATCCTGTGATCTTAACTGGTAAAAAAACAGAACCGTTGCATTCTCCGTCTTCTGTTACTTCAGTTTGGGGGCCGTGTGTCCTCTTTTAAAGAGGGGAGTCCAGTTTTAAGTTTGATGCAAGGGCAAAAGCTCATTAGGGGGAAGTCAAAGGGCTTTGTAGTTGCTCATCCACAGGTAGCAGCATCTGGACAATGGAGAACTCATGTTGCAAGCCTTCCCATCTTCCAGGTGAGATGTGGTATCATTCTTCTCAAATCATAAGCCACTTCACATTTTGCGTCTGTATGTACAAATTACCACCTTTTTTTAAAAAAAAAGAAGCATCATCCTTTCTGTGTGATGCATATTCCCATGGGGGGGGGAGAGGAGAAGCAGGGTGCCACAGCCCCTTGATAGGAAATTGCATCATTTTAGAGGCCTCCTTGGAAAGAAACAGATGAGGACTTCTACTAAATAACGGGGACCACAGTCTCTCTCCCCCGACAATGCCTTGGTCAGTTCCCGAGGCAATGTGGAGGCAGTAGGCTGCCTTGCTGGGAAGGAGGTCTGCATTAATGAGAGGCAGAAGGCAAACTTTTAATACAAGGACCAGATGCTGAGATAGGTGGGAGATGCCATCACTTTGACCTCTAACCACTGCCACCCTCCAGTAAATCTGCTTGTTTTAACTCCTGACCTCTTCATCCTCCGAAAAACCGCCCGCAAAACATTTGGACCAGCACGGATGTTTGTCATGTTTTGGAATTGTTTGTTATGATCAGCAATCTTGCTTATTTGTTGATTTTAGGGCTACTCAATGATGATCTTTGCTTCAGTTCTATTTACGATGGTCCTCTCAGCGGACACAATGCTGTACACAACAGGAATTTGCAAACCCTATTGCCCTAAGACACTTGCACTTAAAATTTAGATGAACATTAAGTCCCCTGGCTAGCAGTGTGTTGTGTGACAGTTAAGCTGTTTCAACTCTCAAAGGATCTCTATTTCTGAAGTTCTGTCCGAAAATGCCTGCATGGTCAGAAATGATGGGTGGGATTTATTTTTCAGTTTACCTTTGGATAAGAATTTACAGTACAAGGAAATTAGTTGTTTGTTTGTTCTTTATGTGCAAGAAATTGAAACTGACAGATTTGAACATCCATATGGCTATGGACATTCATAGATGTAACAAAAATATATTTCAATGCTGAAAGTCTCTCTTTATTAAGAAGATTATTTCTTTCTGGTTCATTAGAACTTGCATTTCCCAGTAGGCACATAAAACAGAGTTGCAAGGAAAACTCTTGAAGAGGTTCCAGATTTGTTTACTTTTACTTTATATGCTTTTACTTTTGTTGTGTCTGATAATCCTTGGGTGTGTATCATCCACAGCTGCTGGCCTCCAAACACCCACCCAGTGCCTCTGTACAATCTGTGCTGTTTTTGCTTTTTGTTTAGATCACATGACTCAAATTTCTTTTCGTTAATCATGTTCCATGAAGGATATCACAAAAATAATAATGGTCATCAACCAAAACAACAGGATGCATTTTTTAAAATTATTTTTTAATCCAACTAGAGCAAAGCCATTGAATCAATGGGACTTATGTGTTGACTTCACAAGTCCTGTTCATTCAAAAAGTCTACTGCAGCTGGGATTAACCATGAGATTTAGTTCAACATAATGCTTAAAAAGACACAGTTTTTAAAAGTTTATATACAGGGACTTTTCATTTGGCTTCAGTTGGCTGTTGGATGAACCTGGGACAGATTTCAGCCTCAACACCAAGACTGCTGAGGCCACCACCAAGGGTAGTTGGCCAACCATTGACAACCTAGATTCGAAGGTCATTTGCTTCCACTGGAATGTCAGTCGAAGAAGGGGCTGATCAACTGAACACCCAACCCTGGTTTACACATCCCTGCTCATCACATGTGTGAACAGACAGACACTCACTAAATCTTTCCTGTCTTCTTTAACTGAATGTAGTTTAAGTCAGTTCACACATTTGGTGTTTGTGTGTAACTTCTCCAATGCTCAGTTATCCAATGTTGTGATGTAAATCACATGCTCAGCGGGTGTGTATGAATGAGCCCCGAACGGCTTGTCTCTTACTGTAGATGCCGGTCTTCGTTTACAACACAGTGTGCAAAGTCCCTCCATTAGAAACACCTGAAGGTGCTTGCCCCTGGTCCTTTGTCCCTTTATTGTTCATCTCCGACAGGGATGCCAGCTTGTTTTCCTGGTGCGTCTCTGTTGATTTTAGCCTCTTGAGGCACAACTTCATGTCTTCCCGAAAGGATGGGGTGTACAAGCCATAGATGATAGGATCTGTGCAAGTGTGCAGCAAGCCGAAGAGGAAGAAGAAGTGGTTGATATATTCTGGCATCTTACGGATCATGTTGGGCTGGAACCAGTACCACAAGCCCAGGAGGTAATAAGGAGTCCAGCAAATGATGAAAGACGCCACTATCAAAATGGTCATGGTGAGAGTCTTCATGCGGGCCTTGGAGATGTGGTCATCCTTGCCTCTGGAAAGACCTGGGGCAGGAATCTCAAAAAGGTCAATGCCATGAGATGCAAAAAGTCATGCATTAAGATGCTAGTTAGGCTGGACTAAGGGTGGGGAGGGCAAAGTCAGGGCAATGGAACTACTGTAGATGCCGGTCTTCGTTTACAACACAGTGTGCAAAGTCCCTCCATTAGAAACACTTGAAGGTGCTTGCCCCTGGTCCTTTGTCCCTTTATTGTTCATCTCCGACAGGGATGCCAGCTTGTTTTCCTGGTGCGTCTCTGTTGATTTTAGCCTCTTGAGGCACAACTTCATGTCTTCCCGAAAGGATGGGGTGTACAAGCCATAGATGATAGGATCTGTGCAAGTGTGCAGCAAGCCGAAGAGGAAGAAGAAGTGGTTGATATATTCTGGCATCTTACGGATCATGTTGGGCTGGAACCAGTACCACAAGCCCAGGAGGTAATAAGGAGTCCAGCAAATGATGAAAGACGCCACTATCAAAATGGTCATGGTGAGAGTCTTCATGCGGGCCTTGGAGATGTGGTCATCCTTGCCTCTGGAAAGACCTGGGGCAGGAATCTCAAAAAGGTCAATGCCATGAGATGCAAAAAGTCATGCATTAAGATGCTAGTTAGGCTGGACTAAGGGTGGGGAGGGCAAAGTCAGGGCAATGGAACTAGGACAGAAGTACTTATCACGAAAGTGATATCTCACTGTACAGCATGTCTAACCACAAGGTAACAGAATTTGGCTCCAAATACAGTGGGGTCGGGTCAGTCATGCATTAAGATGCCAGTTAGGCTGGACTAAGGGTGGGGAGGGCAAAGTCAGGGCAATGGAACTGGGACAGTAGTACTTATCACGAAAATGATATCTCACTGTACAGCATGTCTACCTTCCTCTAACCACAAGGTAACAGAATTTGGCTCCAAATAGGTTGTTCTGTTTAACCTAGTAGCCCATCTAAATTTTAATCCCAGACTTTGCTGATATAGGGATTTCCATGTTAATTGGCACTTTTGCACTGTAATTCTCTGACAGTGAGCTTTGCCAAAGGCTAAGCAGGGACGTGGTGGCGCTGCAGGTTAAACCGCAGAAGCCTCTGTGCTGTAAGGTCTGTAGATCTTCACCTGTAAGATCGAATTCATGTGACAGAGTGAGCGCCCGTCGCTTGTCGCAGCTCCCGCCAACCTAGCGGTTCGAAAGCATGCAAATGCAAGTAGATAAATAGGGACCTCCTTGGTGGGAAGGTAACAGGGTTCCGTATCTAAGTCACACTGGCCATGTGACCACGGAAGATTGTCTTCGGACAAGCCCTGGCTCTACAGCTTGGAGATGGGGGTGAGCACCACCCCCTAGAGTCGAACACGACTGGACAAAAATTGTCAAGGGGAACCTTTACCTTTACCTAAGAATATAGTGCCACTTGCCAGTATCTAATGCCACTTGTATGTCTTAAATTACCGCTGTTTCTTCCACCAGGTTTCATGAACCCTAAACCACCTACTAGTCCTGACTAAAGTAAACCCATTGAATGAATACTAATACTCAAGTTGCATTGATTCAATGGACTTACTCTAGTTGGGACTAACAATGGGACTTTGCCCAGAGATCCTTAATGATCTACTACCAGTCACTCACAAATCAGTCAGTGGATTCATACCTTCATCCTTGATCACTCCAGCTCCTTATCTGTTAACAATAGCAGCACCAAAACAACTCTTCGGCACCCAATTTGTATTGCTGAGGTACAGAAAGCTGGGTGTATCCAGTAGTGGATTTCTGTGTAAAAGGATTATGGACTCACAGAATCATAGATAATGGAATTGGAAAAGGCCTGTAAGGCAATCAAGACCAATCCTCTGTTGCATGCAGGAATCGAAGGCAAAGTATAGCTGCCGGATGTCTATCCAGTTTTCTCTTGAATGCCTCAAATGTTGCAGAGCTCACCCCCTCCTGAGGCTGCTGGTTCCATTGTCAGATTTCTCTAACAGTTAAGATGTTTCCCCAGATATTCAGCCTAAATCTGGCTTCCTGTAGCTTGAGACCATTATTTTGTGTCCTGCACTCTGGGATGATTGAGAACAGATCCTGCCCGTCCTCCTCTGTATGACAGCCTTTCAAGTATTTGAAAAGTGCGATCCTATCTCCCCTCAGTCTTCTTTCCTCAAGGCTAAACCTGCCAAATACTTTCAATTTTGACTCTTAGGGCTTGGTTTCTAGTCCCTTGGTCGTCCCTTGTTGCCCTCCTCTGAACTGTTCCAGTTTATGTGAACCCTTCTCCATTCACTTTGGCTACTCAGACTAAATTTCAGGGTTTGGAATAGTTTAATGTTAAGTGTAGGTCTTTTGCATTAATGTATTGATCCTGAGGAGTCCAGCAGGAAACAAAAATCTTGTGGACTTAACGTCTGGCCACCTCCGCTACAGAAAAGAACTGCAGAATAGGTGGCTGTTCAGATGTTTCACTGCACTATAGCCAATGATAAAGATGATGGAAGTTGTCCAGCAAAATCCTGAAGGCCAAATATGTTTCCCATTCTTATCATGGATGGGAGGTTCCCATACTTGAGGTCTTGGATGTTGTTGAGCTGTAACTCTCAAGAGCTCTGACCATTGGCTATGCTGGCTAAAGCTGATAGGAGTTGTAGTTCAAGAACACCTGGGGCCCCACATTTAAGGGCCACTCCTGTATGTGATGATCAGAGTCCATGGCTCTTAAAGTGGATGGGTGGGAACGATACCACAGGCCCAGCACCTGATTCACAGCTATGTTAAGGACAGTAAACTCACCTTTGTTAATTTTCAACTGCTTGGTGATCTCAAATAAGATGCGGACATAGCAAACTACCATCACACTCAGTGGCGTGATGTAGAGAGTGGTGAAGGTGAACATGTTGTAGGTGGTTTCCTGCCAGTGTTCCTTGAAGCTGCCGTGCGTCACACATTGGGTGAAGTTGACCCCCGGGACAGTGTACAGGTGGAAAAGGAACAGCTGGAAGGCAGACGAAAAGGGATTCAGATTTCTCTGGAAGGAAGGGACATTCAATCATAGAGTAGGAAAAGAGCCTCAAAGGGCATCGATTCCCAACCTACTTCCTGCTCGTGCAGGAAATCCATTGCGAATGGCCTGGAGGATCACTTCATATATCCAACAGTAAAGTTTTTTAAAAAATTTCTGCTTCAGATAAGAAATGACGTATAGTGGTGCCTCGCTTAGCGATGTTAATCGGTGCAGCAAAAATAGCTGCTAAGCGATTTCATCGCTAAGCGATTTTAAAAAGTCCATAGAAACGCATTAAAACACGTTTAATGCGTTCCTATGGGCTTAAAAACTAACCTTATGCGAAAATCCTCCATTGCGGCGGCCATTTTCGGTGCCTCTAAAGCGAGGCAAAACAGCGGGCGGCCATTTTGTTTACCCGGTGGCCATTTTGGAACCGTCGATCAGCTGGCCGAAAATGGGGAGTTTGCAATGATCGCTTCCCTGCGATCATCGCAAAGTGAATTTTCCCCATAGGAGCCATCGCCAAGTGATCGCTCTTGCGATGGCAAAAAGTCCATCGCAAAGCGATTTCATCACTATATGGAGCGATCGCTATGCGAGGCACCACTGTATTTGAATCCTCATGCCTCCCCTCCCCCCTGTGATACAGTGACAAGTGAATCATTTTGTGATATAAAGTTCGTAGAAGGAAGGAATATATAACATTAATTATGCAAACAATACTTTGCCCCCACAGTGAGCTGGGTACTCATTTTACCACCCTCAGAAAGGTGGAAGGCTGAGTCAACCTTGAGCTGGCTACCTGAAACAGTCAGGAAGGATCAAACTCTGGTTGAGAGCAGAGTCTTAACTGCAGTACTGCAGTTTAACCACTGTGCCCCAGGGCTTCTTTCTAGAGGATGCCTATCTGCTGTACAATTGGTTTCTTAAGTGTGAAGGCTTATTGTTTTATTGCTAAGCCCCTTTCCCGCCTGGTTTGTTTTGGCAGGGCAGGTGATGGTGCTGGGGATCAACAAGCAAATGGCACTGATTGGATTTAGCACATGACCAGGGAACAAACAGTTCCTAGATGTGCCTAATTTCATAAAACATCACTGCATTAAACAAAAACAAAAATCACTTTCTCTCATCAAGGGCATTGGGCAACCCTCAAAATTCCTTTGCTCTCTCCTTACAGTTTGATTCCACAACTAAGGCACCGAGGAATTTAGTTTTGAAGGTTGCCAAAGACCCTTGGAAGAACATGCTGTTTTTCTCCCTAGTGTGCAGAGAAGCAGCCATCCCTTTCAAAAAAATAAAAAAAAGTGGGGGGAAGAGGGAAAGTATTGTGACTCCTTTTACACTGTTAGTCTTAAAGGTGCCATAATCCCACTCTCCTTGGGAAGTCATCCAAGCCATCGCAATCTACGTATTACCACCTCATATTCACCATAGAAAGTACTTGAGAACTTTTTTTTAAAATGTAGGAGAACCCATTTCAGCCCCATGGCTTCTAGTGCAAAACTTAAAATCCTGTATCTGTCTAGCCATGTATTCCATTGTGTTAGTACTGAATTTTGAGTTGCCACCTCTTCTGTGGGGAGGGTTGGTGTCAGTATTCCAGAAATAGGGCTCCCATGTGCACAAATATCCTTTATACAAACTTTGAGAAAGCCCAGCCACATGGGCCATTGAACCAGCAGTAGAAACAAAGCCAATTTTGCCCTAAACATTTTAGAAAATTCAAATGCCGAGAAGTTGCCCAGACAGGGCTGTTTATGTTGGTCTTTGGAAGATTGTTCTGAGTCCTCCTGGTGTTTCTTGTTGCAGGTTTGAATAGATCATCCTCTAGATATTTGCATCCAGATCAAGGAAGGCTAACTGTTGCTGGATTTACTGGATTGTTCTATATAGTACTGCTTCTCCATACAAATCTAGAATTTCTCCTTGAGGTCTCACTGCTCAGACTGTCTTCTCTTCTGTAGTCCCACCTCCTTCACTATCGTTTCATCCTCCCTTTCCCAAACCTTCACATTTTTACCCATTTCACTGTCTAATATTAATGCTTTCCTCAATTTTTAAATTTTTTTACCGTTTTTCCTCTTGTGTGTTACAGAGCTTAATTGATGGACTATTTTGTGACATTTTAAATATTCTACATTGTAAGTCTTTATGTGCCTTAGAACAAAAATGACTTTTAAAAAGACAGGGTGGCAGCTGCTGATATCCCAGCACTATAACAAGAAAACAAAACAAACTAATCTATCCAGTATGTGTGGTTGACCTTAGACGCACCCCCATTCACAACGTTCGGGTGATGTCATCCTACTTCATAAGTAAGGGCTTTTGACCTGCCTTGACCTTGTTGACACCAGTTTTGATCCTACATAATGTGGACAGCAGAAAATGTACCAAAATCATGGGTGCGAGTAAAATTGGAAAAATGCTCACCGTGGACAACCTCGGAAAGAGACCTCAAACTTCAGTGAATTCATACCTGGGGAGATGCCAGCAAGACGCTAAGGATCCATGCAACGTAGAGCATGATCCGATTGCGGTGGCTGGAGTTAGCAAAAGAAAATGGGTGGAGGATAGCCGTGTGCCGGTCCAGGCTGATCACCACGAGCACCAGGGCGGCCGAGTACATGGCGAAGAGTTTGAAGAAGTTGAGGAATTTGCACAGGGCATCTCCCGCGTACCACTGAATGGTGATGTTCCACACGGCGTCCAGCGGCATGACCACAATGGTGACCAGGAGGTCTGCCATGGTTAAGCTGAGGATGAGCAGCTGGACGTGGGATTTCCGCCTCTTTCTCATGACGCTGTACAGGACTGCCGAATTGCTGCAGGCCGCTACAACGAAGAAGCAGCTGGTGATGACCACCCGGGTCTTGGAGGCAAGGGTGAAAGTGGGTTCGATCCAGGCCTTGGGGCAAGCAGAGAAAGAACTGTTCTCGTCTGTGGCGCTGCATCTCTGTGGGTGATTCATAAGGGGTTCTCCTTCAGTCATTACCTGGAGAAAATGGTAAATAGATTGTTAATAATGTGATACTGGCTGGCTGCCTGCCTCAATGAATTGGGTTCCTGGTTGCAGAGGTTGGGAGTTTAATTCCCCATTGTGTACCCTGGGAGAGAAAATCCACAAGCCACAGTCCCAGGGTAGCCCAAGGAGAAGGGAATCCTCTTTGGAGTATCTTATGCCAAGAAAAAAATGGGAAAGATCACCATAAATCGGAATGGACTTAACAGCATCTATTTATCATCCTTACTGGTGTGCGCGCAGAGATTAGAACACTAGCAAAATAAGCTTAACACATGTTTGTTGATATTTTCAAAAATGAACTCCACTTAAATTGATTTGATAGGGAACATTGTGTACTCGTTCTTTTAAATATTGCCTTTTAATGATGTGTAAGCCACCTTGGGTCCTTTTCAAAGAGAAAGGTGGGGTTAAAACATTTTAATATACACTGTATTTTTCGCACCATAAGACACACTTTTCCCCCACAAAACAGGGAGGTGGAAAGTCTGTGGAGCGAAGAAAACAGATTATATTTTCCTGTTTTCTTCTCCTAAAAAATTGGTGCATCTTATGGAGCGAAAAATATGGTCAATAAATAACCATTTTTCAACACATTGCGATCCCATGGAGAAACCGATCGCGATTGGGATGGGGGTGTGCCGTGGCCTGGTGCGATATATTTCCCGGCGATCCCATGATGCCTAGAGAAATGTGCTCGGGTCCAACCCTGATCTGTGACCTTTTTTTTGGTCCAACCAACTATGGCTTCTATTTTCTGGGGCTGGGCTGGAGCGATTCCCTGGCAGACAAAAGGGCCGCTTGCAGGGAGATCCCTCTTTCTGGTGCAATTAGGTGCCTGCCTTTAGCAACTCTCTGAGGGCAGAAACACACACCCTTGCTCTTTCATTTCTCATTAGCATAACAAACCAGAGGACTGACAGAGAGAAGTACTGTTCCGGGATTCCTTCCCCCACCTGGCACTTCCCAGGTAAGTACAGATCTGGTCATCCAGGTGTCACCTGCTAATGGTGATGTTTGTCCTCAAATACATATGGAAAGCACAAGGTTTATTGGGTAGCCCAAGTTTCCCTCCGGCCTGAGGACCAAGGTTCCAAAGTCCACCTGTTATCCCCTCATTTTGCTTGTCCACATTCCCACCCACCCCACCAAGCCACTCTCCCTGCTTTTCCTTCTCATGATTTGCCTGCCTGAGAGAGACGGCAAGGGGAGGGACAGCCGCCCACCACAGAGACGAGAGTTAGCAAAAAGATGGACCGGAAAATAAAAACGTACAGCAATGGCAGCCGGAGGTTGTGCCCTCCTTGCAGGGGATAAGGAGAAGTCGGTCTCCCCTGGAGCAGAAAGGGGAGGAAGGGAACGGATTTAGCAGGAGTGGGTGGCATGGATGAGGAGGCACCCAGTGCCAGAGGAGGGGGGGGAGAGGAAGAGGAGCCAGCAGGGAGCAAATGCTGATTTCCCAGGGTTGCTTCTTCCTTTCCTCCAGGCTCAATGAAAAAGGGTAGGATGCACCCACTGCCATTCCATGTCTTCTCTCCATCCCCAGGTGCTTTGGGGGGAAGGTTCCTGCCCTTCATCTATTCTCTCCAGCGCTGGTCCTGGGCATCTCTCACTCCATCTCTCACCTTCACTCTTCTCCTTCTTTCTGGGCCTCTGCATGGTGAGGTAGGAGGTGAATAGCATGGTGGCTGAGGGGCAGCTAGAAAGGCAGGAAGCAGGAGGTGGCAGCAAATTGGCCCCCCGCTTTGCTTTTTGCTCCTCAAGGCCACGGCCTCACCCATTCTGAGGGCACAGATGACCCTGTCGTTGGAAGGAAGGCCCTCCTCCAAGCAGGGGTGCCTAAAACCTCTACAATCCAGTTCTAGTACAGGATCTTTTCTTTTCGTCTCCAGACCTTGTCATCCTATACAAGAGAAACTCTTCAAAAGAGTCTTCCCCAAATGCCTCTAACGGTGCTCTGAAAATAGCTTTAGAAAGGAACAAGGAAGAAAAAAAATCAGGCTGACTTCTTGCCTTATTTTTGAAATGTAACTCCATTATGCCCCCATTATCTATCTATCTATCTATCTATCTATCTATCTATCTATCTATCTATCTATCTATCTATCTATCTATCTATCTATCTATCTATCTATCTATCTATCTATCTATCTATCTATCTATCTACCATTCCATGTCTTCTCTCCATCCCCAGGTGCTTTGGGGGAAGGTTCCTGCCCTTCATCTATTCTCTCCAGCGCTGGTCCTGGGCATCTCTCACTCCATCTCTCACCTTCACTCTTCTCCTTCTTTCTGGGCCTCTGCATGGTGAGGTAGGAGGTGAATAGCATGGTGGCTGAGGGGCAGCTAGAAAGGCAGGAAGCAGGAGGTGGCAGCAAATTGGCCCCCCGCTTTGCACAGATGACCCTGTCGTTGGAAGGAAGGCCCTCCTCCAAGCAGGGGTGCCTAAAACCTCTACAATCCAGTTCTAGTACAGGATCTTTTCTTTTCGTCTCCAGACCTTGTCATCCTATACAAGAGAAACTCTTCAAAAGAGTCTTCCCCAAATGCCTCTAACGGTGCTCTGAAAATAGCTTTAGAAAGGAACAAGGAAGAAAAAAAATCAGGCTGACTTCTTGCCTTAGCCCTCCTCCAAGCAGGGGTGCCTAAAACCTCTACAATCCAGTTCTAGTACAGGATCTTTTCTTTTCGTCTCCAGACCTTGTCATCCTATACAAGAGAAACTCTTCAAAAGAGTCTTCCCCAAATGCCTCTAACGGTGCTCTGAAAATAGCTTTAGAAAGGAACAAGGAAGAAAAAAAATCAGGCTGACTTCTTGCCTTATTTTTGAAATGTAACTCCATTATGCCCCCATTATCTATCTATCTATCTATCTATCTATCTATCTATCTATCTATCTATCTATCTATCTATCTATCTATCTATCTATCTATCTATCTATCTCTATCTATCTATCTATCTATCTATCTATCTATCTATCTATCTATCTATCTATCTATCTATCTATCTATCTATTTATTATGTATGTATGTATGTATGTATGTATGTATGTATGTATGTATGTATGTATGTATGTATGCATGCATGCATGCATGCATGCATTCATGCATTCATTCTATTTATACCCTGCCTATCTGGTCATTACGACCACTCTAAGCGGCTTACAATATATAATGCAACACAAATATAAAATATTATAATACAATTAAACAATTCAACAAGATGGAAAACATAAATAAATCAAATAGAAAGAAGAAATAATAACTTGTTGTAAGTCAATACTTTCCCTTAATTAGTAATAATAACTGCCCTTCTCTGTGTTTGCTTACCTCCCTCCTTGACTGGCATCCAGAGATTGACTCACTGGCATGCAGCAACTCTGATGCGAGAGAGACGAGTTGAAGATAATAACTCGTTTGCAGTTCTCCAAAAATCCCACAAAACATTTTTTTAAATGAATCATTTTCAGGGTGAGATCAATTGAAGCAGAAAAATAATCAAGAACGTGATTAAGCTAGACAAAGTGTGGCATTGGTTTGGTTCTGAAGATATTTCTGAAAAAATGGCCATTCTTCGGTGCTACTGAGATTATAATTTATGACAACACTTGCTAAAATAAATCCATCAAATCTCTCTCTCTTTTTACAATGGGACCAGCCCATCTATCTAACCCTTTGAAAATATGTACAAGGATAACAGTTGTTGTTCAGTCACATTGAAGGAACTTTCCAGAGTTGGGAAGAGCAGCCATTTCAAAATGGTGCCCCCCCCGCTTTGTCAAGCTGGAAGAAGTAGTCATTAGAGATGACTGCAATAATGATGGGACGGGAGGAGGAAGATATTGTTGGATCATGACAAAGGGCAGAAGTATAGGCTCCAAAATTCATGACATACTACGTAGTTCTCCTGTATTTGGCACTGGTTAGGCCTCATCTTGAGTACCGTGTCCAGTTCTGGACATGGCACTTCAGGACGGGTGCTGACAAATTGGAACACGTTTAAAGGAGGGGAACAAGAATGATCAGATGGAAGAAAGACTGAAAGAGCTGGACATGTTTAGCCTTGAGAAAAGAAGACCAAGGGGCGATCTGATAGCACTTTTCAAATACTTGAAAGGCTGTCATACAGAGGAGGGCCAGGATCTGTTCTTGATCATCCGAGAGTGCAGGACACTCAACAATGGGCTCAATTTACAGGAAGCTAGATTTCAGTTGAATATCATAAAAAAACACCGTTAGAGCAGTACGGCAATTACCTCAAGAGGTGGTGAGCTCTCCAACACTGGAGGTATTCAAGAGAAAATTGGATATCTCTCTGTCAGATCAGATTTGAATTCTTGCTTTGAGCAGGGGGTTGGACTGGATGGCCTCACAGACCCCTTCCAACTTCATGATTCTACGATTCCATGACTTCAGATGGATCCAGATCGATGGCAACATTCAGGTCTTCATTCCTGAACCCAGTACCCTCCTGTTGTGGTGGACAACACGCTCCATCGCCAGCATGTGGTTCAGCAGAATAAAAGGCATCAAGCGGAGGAAAGCTGCAGATGGTGGATTTTCAAGTTGGATGTGTGTGCTGAATTTGGAATCTGTTCAGCAAATAGGAAATACGCCTACATGTCTCTGAATTCTGTGCTGTAATTGATTTAGCAATATTCTTTTAATTTGTTTTTAAAGCACAATTTCACCAATTATAGCTTCTTTTCTGTTGAGAATTATTACCTCTGACGTTCTTCACACCACAACCAGCCTATCGTAATTCACAGATGGCTATAGCAGGTGTCTGCGTGGGTTTGTGCATACAGTACATGCACCACTTCTTGCATTAGAAATCAATAATTCCTTAGACTGAGATCCCTCGAACCCGCAGGAGAGATGTCCATGTCCGACTCCTGCAGGCATAAATCCCAGCCCCCTTTAGTTCATTTATCAATGAAAGGTAAGTAGGTTTGGAACCTATTTCTTCCAAGGCTAGCACTAAGAAGTAAAAGTAAATCTGGTAGTATAAACAAGTAGACTAGCATAAGAGGAGACAAATATATTTCTCAACTTTATTCACTAGAGATAGCATTTAATTTCTAAAAAAAGAGAGATCTGAAGCTCAGGTAAAGTTTCCACTTGTTTTTGTTGCTGCTGCTATTGTTGTTATTATGGAATTCACAGAAACCCTATGAATGAGTGACCTCCAAAATATCCTGTCCTCAACAGCTTTGCTCAGCTTCTGCAAGCCCAAGAATCTGGCTTCCTTTATGGAGTAATCCATCTCACACTGGGTCTTCCTCTTTTCCTGATGCCTTCTACTTTTCCTAGCATTATTTTCAGTGAGGTTGCCTCTTAGATATCATGTAAAGAAGAAGAGGAAGAAAAGACAAAAGAGGACCATAGACTGTATTAAATAGCACAGGCTAATTTCTATGTATAGATGCAGAATCCAAAATGACTTTTATAATTTAGGAAGAGTTACCGTCCATCTCGCTCCAGTGGGAGAAACTGTGACCAGGCGGTCTGTTTCTTTGTGGTCCCTGCCTTCTAGATTTTTAAAAAATCCACGGATGGGCAACTTCCACACTCCTTCTTATCCTCTGTCTTTTCTTTAGACTTGGACTGACCAAACCGCCTTCCAACAGAGGAGACTATGAAACAAGACTGTTCTCTGGTAACTTTTTAGAGACAGTTGTGGTTCCCCACCTTGGGTCACCCCGGTGTTCTTGGACTACAACTCCCAGAAACCCTGGTCAGTATAGCTGGTGGTGAAGGCTTGTGGGAATGGCAGTGCAAGAACCCCTGGGCTGACCCAAGGTTGAGAACCACTAAGATGAAGAAGGACTTTCCTGGGCAAAACAAAACACAAGGCCACCTCAGACATCAGCTTTCCTGGTCCCTGTCTCCTGCCCCAGGAAGAAGGCCAGGATCTGTAGTGAGACTGTGATTGCTCATCAGTGACCAAAGTCGGTCTTTACGTGCATCGAAGAGGTACCCCCTTCTCTTTTATAGGAGACTTGCAAGGAGGCGGGTCAAAGACAAGAGAGAGTCAGCCCTGTACGTGTGCAGCCGAAGGAGAAGACAATGTAGGTCCATGCCGGCAAGGCTAACAGTAGACCTGCAGAAACAAATCCCTTAGGGGGGGCAGTGGGGCTTCAGTCGTGGTTCAGTGAGCACCAGATTTCGGCCTCACACCGTTCTTAGTAAAGGCATCCTTTTCTCTCATCGTGGTGCTCTTTCAGGTTTATGACAAAGACCCACCAATCTGTTCTTGGAATCCATCCGCCTTGCACGAGCCCTGTTTTGAAAAACTTTCAGTTCTGAGAGAACTTCAAGACCACGAAAGGTGCTTGAGAGTACAACTCAAAACGGTGTTCAGTACAGGTGGATAAGAAACGTAAGCGAATCTGGTGACATTGTTAAGCGATGGCTTACTGGCATGTGAACAAGCCTCCACCTTCTGCCCAGGCTATTCTTTTCTCTTCCGGAGCACTTGCGAAGGCCATGAGGGATGAGGATGATGGGAGTTGGCATTTAATGTAACATGAGGACTCCCCCCCCCATGATGGTGAAAGCTGTTTTAGAGTTTGCAGAGGTCTGCACGAGAGGAGGTGCCCCTCCAAGGAACAGCTCTTGTCTGGCCTCCCATGCCATGCCAATGATGTCCCTTGGACACTTTGAGTGCCATCCCAAAATATTGTGCCGCCTGAAGCTGAGCTCAAATGCCGTCCTTCTCCAGCAAGGCCCAGCATCTTAAAAGGTCTTGCTTCCCAGTTTCAGACACGTGATTCCTGGTTCCAGCTATTCTCCCACCCTTCCCCACCCTGATGCAACATCCTCTGGTGTCCTTAACTTTGCAGCACTGGCTACCCAGCCCACTCTCTATGCCCAGTGAGCTGAGGTTCAATCCAGCCCCACAGTGCCCAATGGTGCTCACTCTGCCAGGCAAAATAGGGACACCTAGGATCGGTGCCTGAGAAAAACGAAAGAGACGGTGACGACAGCAGAAGCTACTTAAAACAGCAAGTGTGACAGCTACTCACAAATCAATAAAGGGAAGTGCAAAAGGCAGCTTAGAATTCCAGTAAATGTTTACCAGTCCACCAATCAATTATTAACATGTGAATTATAGCTAGAGAAATAGAGAAAAACAGCTATGGGAAATGAACCATAAAAACAGAATGCAGTCGGACAAATAGAGATCAGCTAGATCGAGAGTTTAGTTACGGATCTTTACATAAGATGCTCAAGGTATCTTTAAATGAAATAAATAGGAGCATTTGGGAAAAGGAAGCGGGGAACGGATGGACTTCACCTGCACACTGTTCTTATGCAGGGTGACTAAGAAGCCAGCTCAAATGTGCTTCGTGGGCTTTCGCCCTCAGGTCAGTGTATAGAGGGACGCACAGCTGGCGCCTCGCATCACGAGAAACGATCCGATAAAAAAGAAGCCAAGACTGACTCAAAAGACAATTGAAATCCTGTTCTCAAGGGGGGGGGTACCTGTACTCCACATGCCCTTGGGAAGAAGCCGGAAGGCCGGTTGGAGCCGCTGTTGTTTTCTGCCCTGGCTGACGAGGATGATGCCAGGTCTGGCTCGCAGGCTTTCTCCGCCGCAGCCCTCACTGAAGCATCTCTGCTGTTCAGCGGTACCTGAGATGAAGAGGGTGAGCTGAGAGGCTAGCAGGGCCGTGCCACGGTTTTGCCTTTTCCAGGGGAAGCAGAGGCCATCCCATAATGAGTAACGGCTAGGCTTCTGTTGCTGGAGCCTCGGCTGGGTCTGAAAAGTTCACTTCCTCGCAGCCAGCCTGGTTTAGAGCAGAGGCCGGCGGTCTGAGTGCTCCACGGCAATGTGGTTTTGCCAAGGCAGAGCGCACCGAGGCAGGGAAGCCGGGCAGGGGAGGATGTGCGTTGCACGGTGCCTGCAGAAAGCTATTTTCGCTCGCTCCGCAGCCAGCCAGGATGTGCTCTGCAGTTGTACAAGCGACATTCAAAATACCTCTAGGCAGCGAGCGCTCTTGGCCAGGCTGAGTGCTCTGAAGTCAAGCGGGGGGGGGGGGGGCCCAAGGACTGTACTGCGCAGGGTGGCCCCTTGTAAGCAGAGCACCCCTCTATTTGAAAGGCTGCCAGAGGACTTCTCTTTGTGCGTGTCCTCTCTTCAACAGGCTGCCTGGTCCTAGAATGACTTGGGGATAAAGAAGGGGCCTTGGAATCATCTGACGACAGTGAGCAGCATCTGGACAGCAGGCTCAGAAAGCACACCGGGCCCCTGTTCGCCACGTGCCGCATTTAGATGAGCAGTTCTGGAGGTAGCGCTATTCAAACTGATTTTGCATCTGCACATACAAAGCAGCAAATGTTGGCTTTGCCTCTGGTAGCAGAACATGGTAAACAGCCACCCTTCCTACCAGCCATTGACGGCCACAGCCTCTGTGAATTTCTCTAATCCCTTTTAAACTCCACTCCAGTTGGCAGCCACCATCATACCTTGTGGCAGTGAATTCCACAGGTCAGCTATGAACCCAATCCTGCCAAACAAATTCAGCACCTTCAATAAGTCCTGTCTAGCAGATGAACACTCAGGGGAGATTCATAGAACCACCAAATTGGAGTCAACAGCTGCCACTGATGAAACCTGCACTGAGTGACAGATTTAGAAATTTGTTTATGGAGGAAGGGCCTCCTCCTCAAAAAAAATTGTTTATAAGACAATCCATCAGACTTAGTTATTGTTCACATGGACTGGCAGTAGCTTTTCAGGGTTTCAAGCTGGAGTCCATATGAGTTCTAACAGAGATGTATGGAATCGAACCTTGGGCCTTATGTGAGTGAAATGTTCTGCTCAATCACTGAATATATCCAGGGCCCCAAATCTTTGCCCATCAACTACTTTCTTTGCAAACAGAATTCAGGAAAGTTACTTTTTTTTCAAGGACGACTCCCTGTGTTCCCCAGCTAACATAGCCAAGTGGCCATCCTGGTTGGGAAATTCTAGGAATCTTGGTTTTAGTTCAAACAGGTAACTTTTCTGAGCTGTTCCGTAGCCCGAGAAGGAAGGGATTCCTCCTTTAAAGAAAATTTCAAGACATTCCTTCAACTTGCAGCTTTCTTTTTTAAAAGAAGTAAGCCTCTGTTTCAGGTAGGGAACCTGGGAACCATCTAAGGACTCACTAACAACTACTGTTAATGTGTCATCAAGTTGCCCCCCCCTTTTTCTTTCTATCTATCTATCTATCTATCTATCTATCTATCTATCTATCTATCTATCTATCTATCTATCTATCTATCTATCTATCTATCTATCTATCTATCTATCTATCTATCTATTGATTTGATTTGATTTGATTTGATTTGATTTGTACCCCACCTATCTGGACCAATGGACCACTCTAGGCGGCTACAACGCCCCTGTGAATGAGTGACCTCCAAAATGTCCTATCATTAACAACCCTATTCACTCGCACAAGCTCAAGGCTGTGACTTCTTTTATAGAGCCAAATATTCACTTTTACAAGGTCAAGGCTGTGACTTCTTTTATAGAGCCAATACATCTCATATTTAGTCCTCTTCTTCTTTTCCTGCTGCTTTCATATTTTCTTAGCATTATTGTCTTTTCCCGTGAGTCTTGTTTTCTTGTGATGTGCCCAAACTTCTACAGCCTCTGTTTCATCATTGTTGTATCATCTCTTTGGAATGATACACCTAAGTAACTTTAAACATGTTATGCCAAAAAGTATTTTTATTTTGGCTCCTCTGCAGTTCTACGACGTTTAAGGCTCTACGTCTGTCGACGGTAAAGAGCTAGATCAGAACACAGACAACTGGATCAGAACATAGACATTTTACTTTTATGGATTACAACTATTCAAACACTCCCCATCCCTAAGCCAGTGTCGTTACTTAGGGTTGCCAGATCAGTAGCATCTAGAGTATCACAAAAATTTGGACAGATTTTCGGAAAGGATCCAAGAACTGGTCTCAGGTAAGCTGACTGCGGAAAAAGGCACAAAGGGAATTGGATAAATGATCTAAGAATCTGAACCAGGTAATAAGGCACCCAAAACATCCAGTGTGGTGCAGTGAATAGAGTGATGGACTAGGATTTCTGGAGACCACGGTTCAAATCCCTGCTTAGCCATGGAACTCACTTGGGGAGTGAAACTGGTAAAACCATTCTTTAAATATCTCACTTACCTTGAAAGCCCTGTTAAGGTCTCTATAAGAGGGTTTTGACTTGACAACAAGGACAATACGGCAACCAGAGCAATTGGGGGGAGGAACTTCTTTCTGCCAATGGGTATGCAAGCAAAATGGTCCCTGGCAGCGGTCCCCCACCCCAAACCTAATAACATAACCTAAAACTAAGGACCTTACCTTTTTCTTCTGGCAGGCTTAGATAGGCTGTTTGATTTGACCTGCAGCAGGGAGGGGTCCAAGCCAGCCTCCAGGCAAGGATCATACAGCCCCCATGTCCTTCTGTACTGCTCCCGGCTTTTCTTGGTATGGCACTGGGACCGTCATCCTCAAGAGGCACAAACCGCCAGGAATTCAATTGCGTTTTGGTGGGCGTTCGTTGAGCAGCTGGTCAAAATAAAAGCAAAGCTGGGTGTGAAAAGGACCCAAATTCTTTTTAACCATCATTGTGCTTCCTTTCCCCAAACGTGGAGAACATGCTGGCTAGAAAACCTGCTAAGGGGGAGTTACAGCAACAGAAGGTGTAGATTGGGCAGGGGTGGCTGGGAAGGAAAACCAGTAAGTGTTTATTTTCTGCCTTGTCTCTTGGAAATGTAAGTGTTGGAATTCCAACAGCTATTTCCCCCTGCCAGGTTACCATGGCCCTGTTTTCTAGATTAGGCTTTTTTATAATAACCCTTTTGTCCCAGAGGATGTGGGAGTGGAGGGAAGGTGACCTACACTGAAGCAGGGGAGGGGGGGGAAGGCAACCCATACAATTTTATCTGCTGCCAGCACGTTCAGTTTTTTTTTTTACCAATAATTTCACAATAATTTTCCCTGCAGGGTTTGAAGCACAATGTAAAAGCCAGATGTCCTTCTTGCAACAGACAACCCAGATTGTTGGGGTGTGTAGGTGGGGTTTGAGCGCTGTTGAGCACTATTTTCTTTCTTGGGAAAATAGACTTTATCTATCTATCTATCTATCTATCTATCTATCTATCTATCTATCTATCTATCTATCTATCTATCTATCTATCTATCTATCTATCTATCTATCTATCTATCTATCTACCTACCTACCTACCTACCTACCTACCTACCTACCTACCTACCTACCTACCTACCTACCTACCTACCTATCTATCTATCTATCTATCTATCTATCTATCTATCTATCTATCTATCTATCTATCTATCTATCTATCTATCTATCTATCTATCTATCTATCTATCTATCTATTTCACTTTTAAAGCATGCCATTTGGCCATGAGGCCACACTGGGAGGTGTACAACGGAGAACAAAACACAATTATTAATCATAAAACACCAATGCAACACATTGATACAACCTCATAAAACAAAATGAGCAACAGAACAAAGGATCAAAAAAAAAGCCACTGCAGCCAATGAAACCGATCAATGAATAACATTCCAAAATTAATCAGCATTAAACATTGGAAACGGGTGGCGGCAACAGGTGTTAAATATGCATAACCAGCGACTAATAGATGGAATGGATTGAAAAAAAAACCTGCCTGAATAGAAAAGGTTTCAAAGATTTCCTGAATGTCACTAAGGAAGGGGTCAGGCGAATTTCGGATGGAAGTTCACCCCACAATTGCGGAGCAACCACAGAAAAGGCCCAGGTTTTTGTTCCCCCCTTATGGGCCTCTCCACGGTTCGGCAACCTTAAATGTCTGGCCTGGGAAGCATGGCTAGGACAGGCCGTTCCATGTGGGTGGAAGCGGTCAGCTATGTCCTGAGGTCCCAATCCATAAGCGTTGAGCAGTTTCGCCTTTTCTCTGTCACCCACCAGCATTTCTCCAATTGTCACCCTGCACGGAACCTGCCATGTCTTTCTTCTTTCTCTTGCTAAAAACATTTTAATTCTTTTATACTATTCCTCCAAGTCTGAGCTCATTCTGAGCTTTAGTCCTCTTGTCCTTCTCCCTACAAATATTGTCAGCTAGTTTATTTTCCTCCTTAGTGATTTGATCCTCCTTTCCCTATACAGTATCTGCTTCTTTTAACCCTCAGCTCATTCAAGAACCCCTTGTAGAGCCACCGCAGTTTCCCCTTCCCCACATGTCTTCCTCTTTGGAATTGTTCACAATTGCATCTTCAATATCTTACTTTTAAGAAATCCCTAGCTTCCCGTTTTCTTTTTGAGTGTTTCTGCCCATAGGATCTCATCCACTATTTCCTCAAGTTTACTCAAAGCAGTCCAGAATGTGCCTGACTGTGCCCAGTCTTTATTTCTTCAGTAGAAATCCCAAGGTACTTCTACTTTTACCTCACTGGCCAGTTCGTGATGTGGATCAGGTCTAGAGTCAATCTTTTTTCTTGCTTCTTCCACCTTTTAGGAAATACATTTTGAGCAAGACAGGTGAGGAACTTGTTAACAAGTCTTAGCAGAGTTTCACTTTCAATTAGAGATGGGCATGAACTGGAAAACTATTTTTTTAATTTATTTATTTATTTATTTATTTGATTTATACCCCACCTATCTGGTCTACTCGACCACTCTAGGCGGCTTCCACTATAGGATAAAACAATAAAACAAGCAAAAAAAAAAATACATAGATCATACAATAACAGAGACAATACAAGGATAGAGTAGAAAATAGATAAAAGAAGAAAAAACTGAAAAATCAGGTATTAGCTGGAGGGAAGGCCTGGATGTATAGCCATGTTTTTTATTGACTTTTAAAAGTGCCCAAAGTGGGGGTCGCGCGGATCCCAGGAGGGAGATTGTTTCAGAGGCGCGGAGCCACCGCCGAGAAGGCCTGGTTTCGTGTCCTTT